AACAAGTTTGGTGTGCTTCTCTATGTTTAGCAAGAAACCGCCGCTCGACGACCCGTGTATCGTCCTATCAGATGTACTAGCATCACTTCGCAGCCCTGATAGGATGAGAAGTGATAATGTGTCCCTGGCTTGGAGGAGGTTATTTTTGTACAATGGGGGCAAGAGGGGGCCACAGGCTCACTTTTTGCCCCGGGGCCCCGCCCCGGGGAGGAGTCTTAACTCGGCCCTGATAGAATGCTGCAAATCTTTTTTTTAATCTTCCAAAAGACACAGATTACAGGCAGAGAGGCCTAAGTGAAGTGCCTACACTATCGCCGCTAACAGCCCAACCGTAGCGTTTTTCTGGAGATAAAACCCCTTAACGAATTCAAGTCAGGGAAAGAAAGCTTTAAAGTGCCAGGAAAGATTTCTCCTCGACAACTACTTCCCTCAGTGAGAAGCTTCCTACTGAGAGGCATCCACCGCCCCCGAGCTATAACTCTCGACTGTTGTTTTTTTGTGGGGCCCCTCTGAGGCCCCCGCTGTTTAGGGCTCCTGGGCGCGCCGCCCTTAATGGACCTGGATGGAGCCGACTCCCAGACTGCTGACAGGTCAGATGTTTAGGTTAGCAATTACAGGAAGTGAAACTCGATCGGGGGAAACTCTCTCTGCTGCGGGAGCTCAAAGACTGAATGGACAAACAGGCAACGCCCCCTCACACCCCCTCACGCCCCCTCCCCCACCTTTGACCCTCAGCTGGAACTGAAGGCTGCTGCAAAACAAGATGGAGGATGAATTAGGGAGGTTTGTTTCAGAAAAGTAATCAATAAAGTTTCAACCCTTTTTATACTTAAATTATCTCTCTGTGTAACTGTTAGTGTCGGGGTCCGCCACTGGAGACTGACGGGAAATTACAGGTCAAGAATGATTTGATCTGATCAATTGATTGTCCTGGATTCATTTACTGCTAATGCTGCATTCATGTGCTGTCAAAATAATCGGAAAAAACGACCTCCAGAAGTTTAGTACGCGACTTCATGTCACATTAGGTGGATACATGGCGGATAAAAATAAACGCTGGCTTGATGGTGAGATAGACGGATCACAGGAAGTCACAGTGAAACTATAAAAGTGCTGGACAAACGTGTGGTGGCTTTTATTGTGAAAGGGTTGCAGGAAACACATCTGTCAGTGAGGTTAGCAGCGACTGCGTTCCTTTAGTGAAAACTCTACGAAACAAGACGAGTGTTTTTATCAGAATCCTCGAAGACTTTTCTGAACATCTGGATGAAAACATACAAAAAATTAAAAAGATTTAAACCCATTTTCAAAATAAGAGTCCTCCAGAGCAGCTGTGTGACCCGACTGTGTGCGAGCAGACGAGAGGCACTAAGTGGGGCTCTGAGAGGCTCCGCTGCCCTCCTTCATCACCATCATCATCATTTGTCGTCGGTCTGGGCTGCTGCTGGTTGGTTTCTGGCTCCGGTCTGAATGCGGCTCTTGTTCTCAGGACTTTTTCCGAGGAGCGACCCAGATTTTCCTCTCGTTTTAAAAAAAAAACAGTCTGCAGTGCTTCGCTTTGATCCGTCGTACCTGAACAGACTCGACTGCAACAAATATGTCCGACCGCTGAGAGGCTCATGACTGCGTTTAAAGTGACGTTTTGGTTGTTTTATGGCATTTTTTAACTCTAAAGACAGAAAAGTGAACACTGTCTCAACTCTTTACTGTTTCCTGTCGTCATTTTGCATGAAGCTACAGTTTAATTCTCTCAGGCAGATTTGTTTTAAGACTCTTCTACAATTAGTCTATGACCATTTCTTCACTATGAAAAGGATCCTAATGGATACTAGAAATAACTTCAGTTACTACAGTTGCTTTTCCTCTAAAATATATTGATAATATGATTTTATTTAAAACGTATTCATGTTAAAACAACATTATTATTATCAAATAATCTGACTTTCTTTATAAAGACAGGATTTGGTCTTATATTCGGGGCCACTCTCCTGTCCCCGAGATCGTCGGCAGCCTTCGAACATAACAGCGACTCGGGGTCGGAGGCAGATGTTTTGCCTAAACATTCGGGGCTCAGTACAAACCCTTGTGGGCAGTTTTGGAGCATTATTTCCCCCAATTTATGGTCGTTATGGTAAAAACATCATATTGTGATTATGTTGGCAGATATTGTGATATGATTTACGGCCATTGTGGTTTTGGCATCACAAATTAAATTTTCACTAAAAGTTCCTAAAAATGTGAATTTTTTTGGGGCTCTGTACCAAACAAACATGTTGTTCTATATCTTGAGCAACAACAGAACTTTGTTAAAATGTTGTTTGTCACATTGTTGTTTTTCAACCTTTCTGAGATAATGAAAAGCCTAAATTCTGCACATGGTAAAAACATGATAGTTGTCCAGTCATCCTGTTTGTGTTCATCATTCTGAAACCAGTCTCTTACAGATGACTCATTTTCACTTCTGAGGCCATAAAAAGGCAGAAATATTTGAGGTTTTCTCCTCATGAATAACTTTATGTCCATAAAACAGTTAGTTTGCTCCCTGCGGTGACACGGCTGATCTGTAGGTGGCGATATTTCCCCACTAACAGAGCTCCATTTATCTCCAGTGGCGTCTGAGAGGAACTGACGCAAAGTTTGTTTTAAAAACCAAAAGTAATGTGATTGTTATGGACGTACGACAGGAACGGTCCGTTTATCTGATTTCACAGCAGCTTTTCTAAAAGGAAACAATGTTTTTAGGTGGGTTTTTTTTGCAATAAAACTGCAGGAGAAAGTTAAAATTGTCGTGATTTTTTGTATATTGGATAAAAACTTGAAGGCAACTCATAGTTTCCATGGTGATTGAATTTAATTATATTCTTAGATTTAGTTTGTTTGTGTCACGTTTGATTAAATCTGCAGTTGCAGCAACTGGACAAAGATCCATTAACGACAGTTTGAGAGGAGAGTGGTTGTAAATTAAATGTTTAAATGTATAATAAAAATAATAAAGAGAAATAGCCCCAGAAGCCCCCCACCCCTCCCGCTCCGCCCCTGCAGCTGGTGCGTAAAAGCGGATTCTTGCGTCCCCACTGAACCACGATAATATGGATGTAACGATGCACAAAATGTACATCGATGTTCCACCACTCCATCTGTTTATTGATCTGTTATGGCGCTATAATCTGCGGTTAAATCCTTTAGAGGTCCGCAGCTGCTGTGATGAAAGTGGATCAGTGTGAACATCAGAACTCAATCTGACCTAAAACTACACCGAAGCATCCGGCTGCAAACCCGCGCGTAAAAGCGCTTCTCACCTGGTCGGTCTGGAGGCTCTGCGCGGTGCCGTAGCGGCAGTACGTGACGAAGTGCTCGCAGTTGTTCCACAGCAGACTGTAGGACACCCCGCCGACCAGCCGCTCCGCCCGCCGGCTCCTCCCCGGTCAGCGGGCTCCGGCGCACGGCGCGGTCCATGGCGTTAGAGTAGGATCCGGCTCCGTACGCGAACCTCCACCGAGTCCACCCGGATGCTGGCGCGCTTGGAGAGCACCCCGAGCAGCAGCCGCGTGTTGGTCACCATCTCCTGGATCTGCCGGCTGTCGGCGGTCAGCACCGGCAGGATGTCCGGGATGAGGTGCGCCACCCGGTTGTCGCCCAGGTAGATGCCGAAGTGGGTGAAGAGAGTCCGGGGAACCTCCAGCAGGTCTCCCCGCTGGAACTTCTGCGGAGCTGCGGCGGGCTGCGCAGGAGACTCGTCCCGGTCACAGCGCCTGGTGAGCGGCGGCTCTCCGCGGTCTGCGCCCAGAGGAGGAAGCA